GCTATAAGTCATAAGCTATAAGCTATAAGCTAGCTTATCACATATAAGCTATCAGCTAGCTTATCAGCTATCAGCTAGCTTATCAGCTAGTTTTACCAAACACACCCTAAAGGTATTGCACGAATGAAAAACTCGTTCTGCAGACTAACAAACACTTGCACGAGTAACCACACTTTAACAACACATCTCACAATCTAATCCAAGCAAGAAAACTTGTAATGTCACACACGATTGACAAAACTATTCATCAAGGCTTTAAGAGTCGGCCATTGTGATTTCCTGTTCCGTTCTGATTGTAGTCTCTTCAATCGCTTTCAATGTTGTACTTTACAGTCCCATATGACACATTATACAACATAGATTTAGCTCATAACCAACTTGAAAATGGTAATCGCTCTCCCCCTCCCTCCTCAGAATACAGAAAATCAAAATGATAAGGAATTAGGTCACGGAGTACAGGAAAAAAAGGTGATAGAAGGAATTAGGCCACGGAGTACAGAAATCATCTCACTAACAGAATGAAATCGCAAACTAGTTACAAAAAAATAAAGGAAAAAATAGAGTAGAACAAAGGACCAAAAAAAGTACCGGCGTGACAGAGGTGGCAAACGCCGTCGTACACGACGACGCGCGGCCGGAGAACATCCGGCATCATCTCTAACGGCGTCGGGGCTGAAAGAGCATCGTCGCTGAGCAGGAACTGCTCCGCCACAGACGCGCACTGGGGACGCGATGACGCCGTTTTGGCCGACGAGGAGTAGTGGCGAGGGTTAAAGAGCTTCGATAATGCAAGCCATTTCGCATTCCGATTCGTGGAAGCCACCAGCGCAGCCCGGCAAAACGCCGTCGCCATTTCGCTCCTCTGATCGATTATTTGTATTTTCTAGAAGTCTTTTGCGGTGTTTCTTTGGTTACAAGTCGGTCTTTGGGAACATAGTCCATTCTATATGACTACTATTATATAGTCGATTCTACAAACGGCAGGGAAAAATATAACAATTCCGCACCCTCGTTTCAATTTTAGTAGCACAAAGGCTATGTGATAATTTTTATAGAGATAGCTCGTGAGTAATTTTCATAGAGTTTGTCAGGTAAGTAGCTCGTTTGATGTACGAGAAATAGATATTAAGGGTATGTTTGGTATGACATATAAGCTAGCTTATAGCTTATTTGATTAGCTTATAAGCTTCCTGTATTAAATAAGCCCTGTTTGGTAGGACGAGCTTATTTAAAAAGCTCGAGCTTATTTGATAAGCTTGTTTAGGTAGCGTTTCAAAATAAGCTCGTTGAATTTTTTATTTCAGCTAGCTTATAAGCTACTTTTACCAAACGCTTTTATCATATAAGCTAGCTTATAAGCTATAAGTCATAAGCTATAAGCTATAAGCTAGCTTATCACATATAAGCTATAAGCTAGCTTATCAGCTATCAGCTAGCTTATCAGCTAGTTTTACCAAACACACCCTAAATGAGTCAATTCCACATGGTTCGTCCGTTAAGGCTTAAAATAAAATAGAATTTGATTATTTGTTATTTTTCATCTTTTTTCATCAGCGTCATTTTTTATTCAGAAACATTAAACCTGTGTCTATAAGAGCTAGCCTGTAAATTAGTTAGTATATTATCTCGTTCACACGTTTATAGTAATATAAATTTGATTTCTTGATCTAAGAAAAATAACAATTTTATTTATTTTTGTTCCTCGTATAATACACAATTATCATTGTAATATTTGTAATAAAATAATGTCATTATTATTATTTATAAAAAT